ATTTTCCTTGCGTACTGAATTTTTCCTTCATAGCATTTGATACAGTTTTTAATGCCTGTCTTCCCTAATATTAAGCTGTGTTTTTCCCCAGGACCCTGTTTGTCTAATTCCTTTTTTATTTGGCCCCACTTTCATTCCTGTCCTCACTCCCCATTTATCTCAGGACCTAATGCATTGTAAGTTCTTTATAAACATTTGGTGGACTAGCGTGCTAGTTTCCTTGAAAAGCTACTAAAATCTAAAAGACTGGTTCTTGGGACAGCAGCTGTTTTTCCTTGGCTCCATTCATCTTCACCTTAGTGATTCTGTTTGTTACTTTTTGCTTTTGTCCTCCTTCTCCTTCATCTCCATTCCTCTTTGCTTTTTTTTTTTTTAAGTTAGCCATCTCTTGTGGAATCTTCTGTCTTTGCTATATTCTGAAAATGTAAAAGGTATTTAAATATTAGAAGCGCTGGCTGTTCATGGGTTAAGTCTTACTCAGGATGGAGCTCCTTTTAACAGTGTTGTTAAAGAGAGAAGGAGTTGGAAGAAGTGGCAGTCTTTGTGGTTTTGGGTTGGTGTGGCGGTGGCTAATGTACAAGGTCTGACAAGTAAGTTTGCGAACTCGTCCTTGAAAAAGTACTAAACCCCTCATCATTGTTATCACTGCAGTCACCTATGAAGGTCTCCCCTTCGGAAGCTAAGCACCAGTGCCAGCACCTGGTCTGCCCTTCAAAGCAATTTTGCAATTCTTTTTCTGGAATAGCCAGCAGAACTGTTGTCCTATGTGACAATAAAGTTTGTGAACTTGTCTTAGGAAAAATTGCTTTGAAAGGTGGACCAGGCACTGGTGTCAGTGCATAGCTTCCTAAGGGGATTACTCTGAAGGGGACTGTAGTGATATTCAGCAATGAGGTCTGTAGCACTTTTTCTCGGATGAATTCATGAACTTAATTGTCTGACATCTATAGAAATAGTAATGGCTCTGAGAAGAAAGGCAGCTTCTCAAGATTGCCATGCCTGTGGAGGAGGGCTAAGAGTCCTAATGATTGTTATGATCATTTGTGCTTGTTAAAACTTTATATTTTGAAATAATGTAATACTTTAGAAAAGTTGCAGATACATTGCAAAGAATTCTTATATATCCTTTATCCAGATTTGCCAAATGTTTATAACACTTACCATGGATGTCACATGTGTGCTCGCTCCCCCTCCCGTGTGTGTGTATTATATATGCATGCATACATGTGTGTTGTTTTCTGAGTAACTTGAGAGTAAGTTCAGCCCCTTTATGATACTTAATGGCATATATCCTACAAAGTCATTCTCTTATTAGTCATCATAGTATCATTTAAATCAGAACATGGGATTTTCAGTTTAACAAATATTTGTTTACTTGAGGACAAAGTACGGGTGGAGGAAAGTATAGGCTTGCCAAACTATTTTAAGTGCTTAAGGGAATTGTAGTTTGTTTAATGGGAAAGAAATCAATAAAAGAAATTATTCTATTTTGGAATAAGATCAATGGAAGACAGAGTAACACAAGATACACCAAGAAGGTACTCTAGAAATTGAAGAAAAAGCAAATAGTCATTTCAACTTAAGGAATCAGAGAAATAATTCTTGGCTAATGTGGAGTTAACCTAAGAGAGGTAGAAGTGCCAGGCTGCAGGACAGTAGGAGGAAATTCATTTTCCTAGAATACATCACCTATCTTATTTTTGTCCTTGACAGTGAAAATTCTGGGGATGAATGTGTTATTACAGTTAGTGTTGACATGTCAAGAGCACATAAAATATGTTAGAATTCTGTAAAAGTTGATATAGTACACTTTTTCATTTTAATTAACAAATTTTGCCCCTTAACATTACTGGGCTAATAAGAAATATATTTCCCTTTCTAAGCACTTGTTCTTAGGTTGTTTTTCATTAATATCTTCTTGATTATGAAGGAGAAGAAGTAATGGAGTTGATTAGCTGTAATTACTTTAAAAGAATGGAAGGAATGTTTTTAGAAACTTAATTAAGCCCCTGTCAGTCTAGAGTTTAAGGGATAGTTACTGTTTTTATTGTCTAGCACTTCTATACTGTATTAAATGTGTGCAAGCTATTCTTATAATTATTCTGAATTAATCAGAAAAAGTTTTACAAGGTGCTGTAGAATGTCACTTTTATTATTTATTTATTTATTTATTTTTGCCTGGGCCGGGTTTGAACCTGCCACCTCTAGTATGTGGGGCTGGCACCCTACTCCTTGAGCCACAAGCCCCACCAGATTGTCACTTTTAGATTTTGCCAGTTTTTTTTTTTTTTTTTTTTTTTTTTGAGACAGAGCCTCAAGCTGTCCCCCTGGGTAGAGTCCCGTGGCATTGCAGCTCACAGCAACCTCCAACTCCTGGGCTCAACGAGTCTCCTGCCTCCGCCTCCCAAGTAGCTGGGACCACAGGCGCCCGCCACAACGCCTGGCTATTTTTTAGTTGCAGCCGTCATTGTTGTTTGGCGGGTCCGGGCCGGGGATTCGAACCCGCCACCTTAGGTGTACGTGGCTGGCGCCTTAGCCGGTTGAGCTATAGGCGCTGAGCCGATTTTGCCAGTTTAAAGTAAAAAGAAGTGAAATAGATATACTTAGATTAGATTGTAGCAAAATCCACCTACGGAAAACTGCTTATGAATAGTTGTGTTTTCAGTTTTAGAATAAGGTTTATAATGCTAATCTATGTCTGTGTGGGAAATTATAGCATTGTTAGATGAGTGTTTATTTCTTAAGCAGATGTTTGATTTTTTTTTTTTTTTTTGGCCAGGGCTGGGTTTGAACCCACCACCTCTGGCATATGAGGCCGACGCCCTACCCTTTTGAGCCACAGGCGCCACCCCAATGTTTGATTTGTTTTAAATGTGTATAAATGTTTAAATGTGGATTTTTATTTTTTTTTGTTTTTTTTTTTTTTTGTATTTTTTAAAGTTCACGTATCTGTCCACACAGTGTATTAAAACATTAATATTGAGTTCCTTGGCAAGGTGATTTTCATAATGGAATTTCATACTTTCTTAAATAACAAATTTTTTGATTCATAAGCTATTACTTGTTTTCTGGTTACAAGTAAAACAGAGATGGTTAGATCTCCATCTTGGCTCCCCTGGTTTCCAGTTGCTCTTCTGAGAAAGAGTGTACTGCATTTTGACAATAGCATTTTAAGCAAGGCTTTAATTTGCATGAATTCTCATTAGAAAGCAGATTTTCTCACTTGATTTTTGAATTCTTAATCCCAGTATTGATACCATTGGATAATATATGCAAAATTCATTGTTCCAAAGTTTTCAGTGCTGGGGCAGGAAGCCCCTGTGGCGCTGTGCTCCTGAGACTGTGCACTGGCAGAAAAACACAGGTGTGTTTTGAGCAGGCAAAGGTGTTCCCAAGTTCTTCAGTCTCCACTTTTAAACCCAGTTTCCCAATATACGCATTTATCATGTTACTAAATTTTCATAATTTTTAATGACTCTTGTGGAAATTTTTCTACTCTTTTGTGCCCTACTCATAACTGTATGTGAAATTCAAAGAACAATTTAATCTGTAAAGGTAAAAACGTACGTAGAAGACTGTTATCTGGGCAAATGTTTATGAACTTTTGATCCCCAGCAGCATACCAATCTTACATTTCTGACTTTATTCTTGTCATAAAAGGTTTGTACACAGGGTACTAACGCTTCCTAAGAAAGGAGGTAGTCCTCAGGCATAGATGAGTAAACCTAAAACAGTGTTCTCTCCAGATGTTAATGTGATCTGTTTTTTATTTCTCTTCTTCCTTATTATTTCAAACTGGAAAGGTCTGAAAACAACATACCATAGCAACATGTAGAGTCTTTTTTATTAATTCAGAGTAATTATAAGAATAACTTGCACACATGTAATATAGTCTTTAAGAGCTGGACAGTGTAAAAACAGTAACTGTCCCTTAAACTCTTCCTATTTAAAATATGAAGTCTTTTTATATTTTCATTAAAGTATAGATATTTTAACTTCTAAATTATTTCTTTAGATTACTGGATCAGAACATACGATTTTGCTTTCAGAGGATTTGTAAGTGCTATTATCAATAAAGAGTGTGAATCACTTTTATAGAAACTAAGATTGAATAATTACATTGTAGAATATGATAGAAATTTAATTTATATTAAAATGAAAGTTTCCAGTGTTTCGTGATACAATCTTGAACTACATGTAGGAGTGGAAAACCCTAATGCCCTAAGGTGTCCAATGAGTGTAATGAATTAGCTTCTGTCCTACTCATCTGAAAGGGTTCTCTAGGTAATACCCTGGGTAGAATCAAGTCAATAGTTTCTTAAATCATTTTTCATATCCTCAGTATAGCTCTCAAACTGTGTGACACTTGCACAAATAACTTAAAACTTTTTTTCTCCCTCAGTTTTACCATTTTTTTTTAAAGGTAGATGATTATCTACCTTCTAGGATGATAATATGTTAAAAGTATATAGCACTATAATTAGTAACCATAAATCTTGCTGTCAAATTTGACTTATATTAAAGTAATTAGCTGCTTTATAGATGTTACTCTTACCAGTGCTATTGTTTGATTGGTTAAATGTTCACTTTATTGAGAAACTATATACAGGAATAAGAATATAGGATTTGAAGTCGCAAATTGCAGAGGCTGGAATTTTAGCGGTGCCACTTGGTTGTATGATACTGGACACATTTTAATAGTTGCCCTTTTTAGTGTTAGGTCTCTCAAGTGTAAAATAAAGTTATAGTAATAAAAATTAAATGACACATTTTAAGCATCAATAAATATTTTCCATAATTATGATTATGTATTATTATTACATAAGAAATTATTTTTAAAAGTAGTAGCTTAGATAGCAATAATGTTTATTATCTTTTTGTATCTCTGGATCATGAATTCAGGAGCAGCTTAACTGGGGTAGTTGCCATCATGATGTCAGTAGGATTTGGGATCATCTGAGTATTTTGAACCTAATCGCTGTAAATTTTATATTTTGCAGACTATGTCTTCAGCAGTAGTACAATTATATGCAGCAGATCGAAACTGTATGTGGTCAAAAAAGTGCAGTGGCGTTGCCTGTCTGGTTAAGGACAATCCACAGAGATCTTATTTTTTAAGAATATTTGACATTAAGGTGAGTTTTATTTTGCTTTTAGTTTAAACTGTAGGTGATTGGGTTTTCTGCCTTTATTATAGTTTACTATAGATTTGTTTGTCTATCCTGTATGTAATATTTCAATTAAAGTTAAAGTGGAGGGGTGAAGCTTGGTTTTAGATGCTGAAGTGTGGGCATTGTGACCAAATGGAACCATGTGCCAAGCCACAGCTTGAATATTGCGTCTCCTTTGTATCTTTCCACTACTACCACACATTAAAGCTAATTAAAAAAAATTGTGCCTTTAGGTCTTGGGCTTTCCCCACATTCTCTCTTTTTCTAATTATACTCTTTTGCTTCATCTTATCCATTATAGAAGAGCATACCTAGTCCTTTCAGGGAATAACAGAAGAACATTTTAGCTTGGGGTATACTGTTATTTAGTCCAGGTTTAAAGCAGTGTACACTATTTATAAAAATGTATTCGGTACCCATTTTTTTCTAATGATTTTTCTCATAATAGGTATATTCAGATTTTTTTTTTATCTTTTATTTATTTATTTTTTTCTTTTTTTTTGTTGAATGGTAACTATGTACATTAATGCACTTCTAGGGTACAGTGTGGGGTTTTCACATGCAATCTGAAATACTTCCATCAAACTGGTCAACACAGCCTTCATGTCATTTTCTCAGTTATTGCTTTAAAACGTTCACATTCTACTCTTAGAAAGATTCACCTGTACCCCTATAAGGTAAACCTCAGAAGTAATCCCTCCAAAGTATATTCAGATTTTTACAGGTTTTTATTCTTTACTCCAGTCATGAATCACATTGTCCGAGATTAGATGCCCTTTGTCAGAAAGCCATCTCTTAGGGTTGTAAAAATAATTATCATTTTGCTAGGGTGAAATCTTTATTTTTCCTCTTAAAGTTTTTTTGTAGATAAGCTTTCATGGTTAATATTTATATGTAGCAATGAGTGTAATGGGTTTTTAATTGCAAAATCTAACCTGCCTTTGAGTTCCTAGGCACTAATATGATCAGATAGACAGAGCATAGTCAGACATTTTCACATCTCTGGCCTCAGCTTCTTTATTTCTAAAAAGGGATGACTGTCTGTGTCTGTTACAAAGTATGTCATCCAGATTAAATGAAATCTAAAACTGTGTTTTGGCTGGGGAAGGGGCAGCAGCGTCATGTTTGGCCATGAAGGTGGCAAGAAAAAGCCCCTGAAACAGCACAAGAAGCAGGCCTGGAGATGGATAAGGAAGGTAAGGCATTCAGACAAACAAAAGGAGGAGCAGAAGAAGCTTGAGGAGCTAAAAGCAAAGCCGGGGAGGGGGCGTGGCCCCCTGGCCATGGGTAGAATTAAGAAATCTGGCAAAAAGTAAGCTGTTCCTTGTGCCTGAGATGATGGTGAGCCTTGATTCCAATTCAAACATTTGTATTCCCGGCCGTCACATCTTGTGCCACCTATACTTAAAATGAAGTGTTGTCTTTAAGAATGAACTTTTGTTAAAAAAAAAAAAAAAATTACTGTACTTTGTAAACTAGTGCTGCTGGGTTTCTTTGTTTTTGTTTTTGTCATTTTTTACGAGACATGGTCTTGCTCTGTAGCCTAAGGTAGAGTGCAGTGGTGGGATATGGGTCACTGGAGCTTGGAACTTTTGGGCTCAAGGGATCCTTCTACCTTAGCCTCCTGAGTACCTGAGACTGTAGATGCGCACCACCAAGCTGGGCTAATTTGGGAGGGTAGGTAGAGATGGAATCTTGCTATGTTGCCCAGGCTGGTCTCAAATGCCTGGCCTCAAGTGATCCTACTGCCTCAACTTCCCAAAATGCAGAGTTTATAGGCATGAAGCCACGGTGTCTGGCCTGTTAGTGCTTCTTAATATCTACTTCCCTGTATCCCCAGACAGCTGAGAGATATGGTGTGCTTTTTAGTAACAGTAGCTTACCGTGGTAGTGATTTTGTAGGATGGGAACACATCCATGCTTTACTGAGTGCTTTGATATATTTCTCATCACCATTCAGAAGCACTATTTAGAAATGGGACATGTATATATAATATATCTTCTCCAAGACTGAGAAATGAATTCCATCACAGAGGTCATAATGTGTGTACAACCTATTTCACCTATTTTAAAATTGTGATCTAGATGGAACCTTGCATTTCTGAATAGGGCAATGATTATATTTTCTAACCATTTATTTCCAGTTGTAGATAACCATTGTTGAACCCTCAAAATTAGTCACCTTTGGTATTAAAGTTAAATACATTTTTTACATTTTGGTGATAGATATGGCAATTATCCATGGCTCTCTTACCCCTAGTTGGAAATTGATGCATTTTAGTCATCAATTCTTAACTCAAAAGTTAAGAATTTGAAGATTGTTAATGAACAGTATGGAAAAGATACATTTGTCCCCCATCTGTAAAATTGGGAGAAAAATTATGATGTATTCCCGTAGTATTTGGTGGTACATGATATCAATATTGCTAATGAACTATGCATTGGTAATTAGTGCATATGCAAAAATATCTATGTAACATTGATGATCTAATAATTATTCTGGGTATGTATTTGACCAAGTAACTGTATTTGGAAATGGTTGGCTATTGAGATTATATCTCAGCATATTGAATTAACTTGCTCGATATGTAGGTTTATGAAAGAAGTGTAATCCAGTGTTTACTGTTTGGTTTTTAAGAAACTACTGATTAAATTATCTGGCACTAATTATACATGTGTAATATATGTGTTTATAAAAGTTATTGTTAGTATAAATAATTTATCAATACGCTCCATCTGCTTTGCTTCATTCTTAGAGATTTCTTTTTCTTTGGTAGTTCTTACTCTAACTTTCACTTTTTTCTAGGATGGGAAACTATTGTGGGAACAAGAGCTATACAATAACTTTGTATATAATAGTCCTAGAGGATATTTTCATACCTTTGCTGGAGATGTAAGTCGTATCTTTCTTTATTGCCAAGTTTAAATTTTTCATTGCCTTTTGTAATCAAATTATTTATAGAGCCCTATCAAAAGATTAAGTGCAGTGCACTATTTTATTGTTTTGCTGAAATGGAGGATTCAGTTGCTTATTTGAGTGTTGCCTGTGATACGCAGCCATATCGTCTACTTTACCTTCTCCACGCTTCTGGCCTCCTTAAGTTACTCAGATCATAAAATGTCTTTCCTGCTAATAAAGTCAACAGTTGTTTCTTTAGAAACATACTTCTCTTGGTCATCATCATTTTGTTATATAGAGCTAACTCATGCATTTTATCATTTCTCCTTTTTGATGAAAATACTTCAGACTTGTCAGGTTGCTCTTAATTTTGCCAATGAAGAAGAAGCAAAAAAATTCCGAAAAGCAGTTACGGACTTGTTGGGCCGGCGACAAAGGAAATCTGGTAACCTTATTTTTTTTTCTTTTTCAAATTAATTCCTTAAAATGGGACAAAAAACTACTTTCAAGGGAAAATGTGGTCTACTACCCTGTTTTTATAATTAAAGTTTTATTGAAACCCAGCTATATTCATTTGTTTATATTCCTTGTGGCTGCCTTTTGCCACAACACAGTTGAATAGTTACAATAAAGACTGTGTGGCTCTTAAAGCCCGAAATATTTGCTATGTGGTTTATGTTTACTATCTGGTCCCGTGCCAAAAAAAAAAAAAAAAAAAATTGATGCCCCCTACCTTAAAATAAATGATATTTTTGAGAACTCATTTTTGAAAATTACTGAAGGACCCATCCCAATAACCTTTTTGTTGATTAAAATTCTGTGTATACTGACTCTTAAATTACATTTTTGACATCATCATTTGTAACTTAAAGATTTTAAAGTACCGTGTACTTTTTAAACAAAGACTTTGGGCAAATTTAGAAGCAAATATTAGAGATGCAAGCAAGATTGTGAACATTTTGCCTGTCTTTTCTGTCCCTAACGCTATGTGTTGTAAGACTGTAAAGAATTTAGTGCATGAGACAACTGTAACACATATATAACACGTGGAGAATGATACAGGATAGTGTAGATCTTCAAACTAATTGGTATAGGACTGTTGTGTAGCAAGCCTTTCTCTTGTAAAGTAGAGGATGATTAGGAAAGGTTAATCTCTCTAAAATTCATCTTAAGCAGATTAGTTTTAGGAGAGAATATATGGAAGTTAAGATTGACAAATAGATCCCCTTAAAACTAGTTATGCCCATGGACTCCTTGAAAAGTCTTTTCTCTACTTCCAGGGGTATGTGGGTTACCCCAGTTTGAAGGTCATTATACTCAAGGATCTGCTTACCATCCAGAGGAACTAAAACAAGAAAAAGGCAGACACTGGAAATGGAAAACAACAACGTAAAAACTTACATTCCTCTTGTACCCGCCTTCATTTTTACTTTACTAAGTTCCCAAGAGGGTAATGAGGCAAAATTGAAAATAAGGGGCTCATGCCTTTAATCCAGCAATCTGGGAGGCTGAGGCAGGATTGTCTAAACTCAGGAGTTCGAGACTAACCTGAGCAAAGGTGAAACCCTGTCTCTACTAAAAATTGAAAAACTATCCAGGTGTGTGGTGGGCACCTGTAGTCCTGGCTACTCGGGAGGCTGAGATAAGAGGCTTGCTTGAGCCCAAGAGTTTGAGGTTGCTGTGGGCTGTGACACCATGGCACTCTAGTGAGAGTCTGTCTAAAAAAAAAAAAAAATCAGCAGCAACCAAATTGTTGTTTCCCTGTTGCTGTGTTAGTGCCATATTCTTCTTATTGTGAGTGAAAGGGTGACTTTTAGGGGCCTATTATTTCCTATTACTTTTGGAAGCCAAGGGCATTTGTCGCTTAATTGCCTGCTAGGAAAGGATTCAATGCTGTGGTATTGAAACCACAGTCTTGAGAATGAGTAATGCATCACTTGTTTCGGTGATAATGCTGTAGTCATAAACTAGGGACTGTCTGGCTCCTTTCAATCAAAACTGACATTTTTAATGTAAAAAAAAAGAATAAAAAATACTTCTTAACATATAAAATAACTGATTTTGAAATTGGCAAGTTAAAGTTGCCTTTCAGCTGGCACAGGCATTTTGTTTTATGTAGTTCTTAAACTTTTAGGCAAAGTATTTTGGAGACAGAAAGATGACAGCCTTAGGGAGGCAGCTGAGTTGCTGTTGGACGGCCATTTACGCTGAGTCAAACCCCATGGTCCAGCCTGTGGAGCAACAAAGAAGCAGACTATTTATTTTTTCCTCACAGTGGCCATTAGTATCGAGAGTCATCTATGGTGTTCTTATTCCTTCTCTTTATTGTAATCTAACCCATCCCGGTTTCATGAAATACTCCTATACTGTAATTTATAGTCGTATCCTAAATACTGTGCTCTGAATCCCCTCTGGCAGCAGTTCTCAACCTGTGGGTCACGACCCCTTTGTAACAATGAAAGTAGATGGCGGCTTTAGGAAGGTTGAGAACCACTGCCCTGCAGCTTTTCCGTGTTCTTCACAATATGGCATTGAGATTTGAACAGAGCACTCCACGTGTAGTCTTACAGCACTGTGGTACTGAGACATCTCTCAGTTTGATTGCACGCTGTTCTGCTGATATTTCTAGTGCTTGCTTCCCCCCATTCGCTCCCGTTCTGATTTGTTCAATCAAATCCTCCACCTGTTTTCGTGGTCAAGGCAGGATGTGTCATATATCTAAGTAATTGCTTCTTAGAATTTATACTATACTCTGAACGTTTATATTTATCTTGTTATCTTTCGATTTTTTGTGTCATCTACCAATTTAAAAAGTGTTTCCTCTCTGGGTATAGAGAGGACATCCTGGAAACTGGTGTTGACATTTACACAGGACATTTCTATATTCCATGCTAGGATTGGCCAGCAATTAACTCTGATTGATTTTGGGATTTGATTATTTATAAACTAAAATTGCATTAATTACAGTATTTATAATTTTAGAAAGTTTTGTATTAGAAAATCTGTGGAAATTACATTTAAAATTCTTCAACCACTTTTGAACTTTCTTAAAGCCAAAATGCCATCTTCTTCTGAGCATCCCTGGTACGTAAGAATATGAATGCAATGAATTGATAGATACTCTGTTTTTCCTCCTGCCTATCTTGGCTGTAGCTTTTTCTGGTCTGTCTCAGTGCCCAGAGTTCTCTGGGTGGTCTCATTCCCTTTGTGCTTTCTTTCATCCAGTCCCATAGCTTTGAAAGCTGTCCATATGCTAATGACGCCCGAAGTTTCATCTTCAACACTGACCTTTCCTCTGCCTTTCAGGCCCTGTCTACTCAAGCTGGGTGGCAGAATAGACTTCAGACATAACATGTCTAACCAGAACCCTGGCTCCTCCCATATATATACCCAACCTCAGCACCACTCAAATCTGTTCCCATTCCTCTTCTAGTCTTTCCTATCTTAGTAAAAAGTCTTTGCTCTACCTCATCACTCAGGCTCACCATGAAGCTTATGAATCCTGTCAGTGATTCCTGTGGCTCTGCCTTCAAAAACATGTCTGGATCTGATTATGTCTTACCACCTCTGCTGCTGCCGTCCTAATCCAGGCCGCTAGGATCTGTCATCTGGACTACCACCCTAGCTCCCTGAGGAGTCTCCCAGCTGCCACTCTTTTCCTTCTATTATCTCTTTTTTATGTAATAGCCAGAGTAAACTTTTAAATGTGTAGATTGTATCAGGCCATTTGCCCTATTCAAAACCCTATAAGAGCTTCCCTTCATGTATAGAATACAATCTATAGTCCTTAGCTATAAACTGTGAGATCCTACATGATCCAGGCCCTGACGTTTCTCTCTGACTGGTTTCCATTCTGGTTTGAACAGAACATACTGTTCTTTAGTTTTGCCCACTCCAGTCCAGTCTTCATAATGTTCTTTTATGCTGTGCCCTTCTTAGAGTCATTGAATAGATCGTCTCCTTTCTCATTTAGATCTCTGCTTAAGTGACATTTCTTTCAGATGTCAGTTGTCCTTAATTAACTGTACTTCAATTTAGGAGTGAGGGTTTAAGTGAATTCTGTTTTTTATGTTAAAGTTGTATTATATATGACTAACAATGTTTTCTGATTTATTTTCTAACAGAAAAAAGACGAGATCCCCCAAATGGTAAGCGCTTTGATAATTATTGATCAAAAAGATTTTATATTATGGTTTGATCATTATAGAAACATGTACCATACATTAATCCTAATATTTAGTATCTGTGAACAAATATTGTGTTCTTTTTTTAAATTAATGAATGACAGGTGAGACTTGGGAAACATACTGTTCTTTGTTTTTTGTTTTTGTTTTTTTTTCTTCTAGCATAAAGGAAAAATATATAGGGTGAAGATCACTAATTCTTACATCTTAATTCTGTATTCACAATTGATTAAGTTTAGAAACTATACAGTCTATTCTTAAATCTTCCCTAAAGGTAGTAAATTTTGTCTAACATATTTGTTGATTTCCTACTTTAAGATTTGTTCTTTTTTCTTACTTTAAAATAATTATGTCACATTTTCATTTCATTTACTATGATAGTGTTTAGAACTAATTGTAACTCTATATAGTGCTGCTCTTTAATTTGATAATGAACACTTGACATATTATGAACTTATTTTTTTAATATTGAACACCAGAGAATAAAATCAGAATACCAAGAAGTAAAAGATAAGGTCTCAGATAGTTTTCATCCTGAATTCCATAAACCTTCCTTGGAGTTATGTGCTAAATTTTGTAAGTATCTGTTCTTTTCTCTGGAAAAAGGATACATGGCTTTTATCACTTTTAAAGGGGTCCCTGACTAGAAGGTGAAGAATTATTGCTTCATTAAAATGAGGAATAAAGCTGTTTCTCTTTAAAAACATCTCACATCCTCTTATTATAACTTAGAATGATTATGCAAGGAAAATATTACTATATAATACTAAGTTGTTATTTATTTATTTACTTTTTGGTGATAGAGTCTCACTCTGTCACCTGATTAGAATGCAGTGGTATCATCTAGCTCACTGCAACCTCAAATGCCTAGGCTCAAGCGACCCTCCTGCTTCAGCCCTTGGAATAGTTGGAACTACAGGTATGTGCCACCATCTCTAGCTAGTTTTTTCTATTTTTGGTAGAGACGTAGGTCTCACTTTTGCTGTGGCTGGTCTTGGAACTCCTTAACCTCAAGTGATTCTCCTGCCTCCACCTCTCAGAGTGCTAGGATTACAAGCAGTTCCCAAGTTACAAACATTTGACTTACGTACAACTCACACTTACCAACAGAGACTATTACAGTAAGTCCACAGTCACAAACATCCAACTGACATACAAATTACACTTACGAATGGAGGTTATTACAGGTTATAGGTAAATGTACCTGTTCCAACTTACATACTAGTTCAACTTAAGAACAAACCTACAGTACCTATTTTACAACTCACGCTTAGTAACAGAGGCTATTACAGATAATAGGTAAATGTACCTGTTCCAGTTGATATACAAATTCAAACGTAAGAGGAAACCTGTACAACCTATCTCATTCATAACCCTGGGACTGTCTGTATATGGAAAGTGGTGCCCAGAGATGATTGAAAGGGGAGGGTGACCTGCCTGGGCAGAACAAAGGTGGTGTCAGTGCCTGGGGGGAGTTAGAGACCCTTTTATACCAGGCTGTAGGAGGGTAGGCTAATTTCATAGCTTGCCTGAAACGTTAGGGTGTTAAACACTAGGGTAAGTTAAATACAGGGTAAATACTAGGGTAAGTTAAATAGGGTCCTTTGGTGTGAACTTTGGGAGTGGGGCTAACTAGATCCTTTGTCTCCTTTGTCTTTGGAGGAGAGAAGGGGGTTCATGTAGGGCTGTGTTAGGCCTCCCAGTAGTATAGTATGAGCCACTGTGTCCCGCCCAAAGTCCTTAATCTATGAGAACTATTGGTGACTGCTCTTGTTTATTTCTTTTAACACATTGACTGCCATACTGGAAAAAATAATTTTCTCTTAGGACTTTCCTATTTTGTTTGTTTGCCTTTATTTTTGTTTGTTCATTTTTGGAGACAAAGGCTCACATTGTTGCCTTGTTGCCATGGCATTATAGCTCACAGCAACCTTAAACTCTTGGGCTGGAGTGATCCTCTTGTCCCAGCCTCTTAAGTAGCTGATTTCAGGTGCCTGCCACAACACCTGGTTATTTTTTTTACAGACATGCTCTTGCTCAGGCTGATCTCAAACTCCTGAGCTCAAGCATTCCACCTGCCTTGCCCTACCAGAGTACTAGGATTGCAGGTATGAGCCACCCCGCCCAGCATGAGTCATGGTGTTTTATTAGGTCAAGAGATGTGTGAGATTATATGCTTTAGGAGGCCCCAGGCTCAAAACTAGGGTAAGTTAAATACAACTCACTTAGCAGTTAATATATTGAACAGATACGTTGCTTCTGATTTTGTTCTAAAATTTGTTTTCCTGATATAAAACATGGACCAAATGTTAGGTACTGGATTAAATTTTGGGTTATTTACCTTATTTCTAATTTTTTTTATTGGCTAACTACCTTCAGTAGTGTTTACCATGTGCCAAATATTGTGTACTTTGACTTTCTCTTTTAAATGGAAATATTTAACTTTATAGAGCCTCTGTGAGATAATGAGTTAGTCAAAGTGCTTACAGCACTTACTAATAGTTGTCCTGATGAAGATGATAACAATAATAATGCAGCTACTATCTAATGATCCTTTGCTACCTGCTAGGTACTGTTTGCCTACCTTCTGAAGGAGCTCTGATTATCTGCCTTGTATAAATGAGTAAACTGAGGCATAGATAGGTAACCTTGCTCAAGGTCACATAACTAGTAAGTGGTGAAGCAGGATTCAACTTCAAATGTTCTAATGCTAGAGCTCAAGTGTTCTAACTTGCCTTAACCACTGTGCTGTGTCAAAATGATTTTGAAGGATAAACTGAGATCTAGAGAGTAAGTAATGTATCTCAAGATATGTAGCTGAGAAGTGGCAGAGGTGAAAAAAGTAGAAACAGCTGAGTCACGGGTCATTCTTCTGTGAACTTCTGTAGCCTTAGAATTTGTCCTTGTTATGTGCCCAGTATTTTAACCTCATTTTGAATTTCTTAAATTATTTTGAATTTGGTGAGCGTATACAGTACTGAAGATCAATGGGAGGGATTTTAGTGCTACCATCTAAGAATGTAGGGGGAAGTAATCCAAGATTTTAAAGTATAGATGTTGTAGATATCATGTAATTAGAGCTAAGGGTGGAAATACAGTTGTCCCTTGGCATCTGTGGAGGATTGTTTTCAGGATTCCCATGGAGATCAGAATTCATGATTCTCCCGTTCATGGTATAAAATGGCATAGTATTTGCATATAACCTATGTCCCTCTTTCTGTAAATCATCTCTGCATTACTTATAATACCTAACACAGTCTAAATGCTGTGTGAACAGTTTTTGCACTGTATTGTTGCAACTGTCTTTTTTTTTTTTAACATTATTGATCTATAGATGGGTGAATACATATGAATACATAGATGTAGAACCCGTGGATATAGAGACTGACTGTACTTTTATTTTCTAAAAACATTTTATTTTTTCAATGTACATAAAATATATTTCTGAATAGACATCTAATTTCAGTGAATGGGTAAAATTTGAAAATTCTTTATGTGACATTGGCATCTCACAATTTTATTACTACCACTAAGAGAATCATTTACAATTAAACATAATTTTATTTCTCTGATATTTCTATTGTTTTCTAAAAAATATTTAGTTATAGGGCAGCACTTATGGCTCAAGCGAGTCAGGCGCTGGTCCCATATGCCAGAGGTGGTGGGTTCAAACCCAGCCCTGGCCAAAAAACTGCAAAAAAAAAAAAATTGAGTTATATAGTTTTAATCTTCTGTTACAGTAGTCCCAGACATTTTTTATTAAACACATGGAGAGTTTTTTTTTATTTATTTATTTATTTATTTATTTATTTTTTTGTAGAGACAGAGTCTCACTTTATTGCCCTTGGTAGAGTGTGGTTGCATCACAGCTCACAGCAACCTCCAACTCATGGGCTTAGGCGATTCTCTTGCCTCAGCCTCCCGAATAGCTGGGAATACAGGCACCCGCCACACACTTAGCTATTTTTCTGTTGGAGTTTGGCCAGGCCGGGTTTGAACCTGCCAACCTTGGTATATGGGGCTGGTGCATTGAGCCACAGGTGCTGCCCGAGAGTTTTTTTTAAATAGTACCATTAAAGGGCAAAATTATATAGCACATATTGCCAATACTTATATACTTGTTTATTTATAAATACAATTTGGCATTAATATATTAACATCCACAATAAAGAATATGAGTTCCAATGTTTTTTTCCTGCCTTGCTGTTATCTTACTCTCCTTTCCTCACTATGTGGAGACCACTGTATTGGAGGCCACATTACTGTATCTGGTGTACTACCACTAGGTGGCAGTGGCCACCTTAACCATGTGTTGCCGTGTCCACATATAGGTGCATTGTCTCAGATCTTTATGTGATTGTCACTCTGCCAGATCTTTTCAAATTACAGTTATTAAAGGGACACTTTATGTAGAATTTACATATCTTCCTAAAATACAATTCAATATCTTCCTCACTAACTGCTGATTTCTTTATTAGTCAGTCTCACCCTTGAGCTTATATGCTTTCCAATGATTTGTTCTCAGCTTCATGCCTGCTTGACATCTGGGCCACCTGTTTCTCAACTATTTTATCTTGGTGAGAGTTCTCTGCTTTTTATTTAATGGGAAACTTGAGTTTGTTCTTTTAGATTTAAAATTAGGTATGTCCATTCATAAGAATATTTAAAGACCTTTTCCTGTGGCAATTGTCCTTAATCAGTAAAAGATAATGTATAATTTATTTTTTTAAAAAGAAGGAAAATTTCACCCTCAATTATGTATTTAATGAGTATTCCTAGGTATGTGTAATTGTATAAATGGAATAAGTAAACTTTATTAGAAATAGCTCAAGAATACATATCTGTATATGTATTGTATACATATCTGTATCTGTATACATATCTGTATATGTCTTTTATAAACTTCATACCTTAAAAATGATTCTTTGCCTTAAACAGGTTATCACTTTTTTTAGTGTGTCATT